TGGCAGAGCATAAATAAGGAATATGGGTTAACTTAAAATGTAAGAGCTAGTCAGTAATAAGCCTGAGCTATTGGCCTAGTGTTTACAATTCAGATTCGTCCTCTGAGTCTGATATTTGGGACCAGGTGGTCAGATCAAGAAATCTCTGTTTACAGGAAAACTGTGGAGAGGATGATGTGGGATCTCATTTGTAGTGGGGGCAATGTGAGAACCTAGGCCCATTGGCTTATCTACAATATGGATAGAGCAATATCTGATTTTATAATGTTGCTGTAACATAATGACACTGCCTGTAAAAATATACAACACCCTAGTCTATGAGCTGAGAAAATAAATAATTTTTTACATTGTATGCTATCAAGAGGTATAGTCTATATCTCTACTTTATTACATCTGGGCTGATCTTTGACTTTAACATGATGTGTGAGTTCTGAGGTGTCAGTCTTTGTTGTTATGAAACCTTGTCCTGGGACCACCAGGAATGGAAACCAATTGAAAACAATTGAAAGGTGACTAACCACATAGATAAGTGATCTGCTCCAGCCCACACATTACTGAGGTGGCAAATGAGAATGAGGCTGCCTTGGATCTTCCAGCTGAGGAAAACCTCCACCTGAATGCAGCGCATGCACAGCCCAGATGATGAATTATAAATGCATGCATAGGCATTTGTTAAGGCACACAAATGCTGGTTCAGTATCCCTATGTTTGTAGCCATCTTTGATTTGGGCTTTCTCAAGGGGTGATTTCTTTTGGTAGCCTGTCTCATTCTGAGACCCCATGTCTGCTCCTTCTCCGGCCAGATGACTGGGGACACACAGTATGTTTTACTGCAGTACTGATATGCCTTGGCAACATCTGTGTCTGGAAGAGCTGCTGCCCACTGATGGCTAGGGTATGCAACAGCAATACAGCAATTTGAGACAAGGGTTACAGGGAGCGAGTGGGGGTTTACTTTCCTAAGCTTCACAAAGACATCATCTAAACCAGAATTGAAACCCAACTCCCAAACCAAGCAAATCTATTCTTATTTATCAGCATCAGATATAAAATAGACACAGTATAATTTTTAAAGCAGCTTCAACGACTTTATCTTAACTAGTCTTCACAATTATCCCAAAGGAAGCTTTTCCCTTTCTTCTTCCATTTTATAAAAACTTTAGCCTGTGTTACTGAGATGGCTCCTTAGGTAAAGACACTTGTCACCAAACCTGATGACCTGAGTTGGATCCCTAGGACCCATGCAGTGGAAGGAGAGAATGGACCACTACGAGCAGCCTTCTGTTCTCTGTGCACTTCGTTGCACATGTGAATACATGTGTGCACACACATACACACAAATAAGCAATGTAATTAAACACGTAAAAAGCCACTGGGTGTTAGTGATTTTTAACCCCTTGGATCAGAAGTTAGAAGCAGAATTCCTGCTGCTCTATCCCATTGGTGCTGTTTTTGGATTTTGTGTAGTCACTTCCATGGTCAGTGATGTAGGGACATCTGATGATTACTGAGTACAGGGCGTTATTGCTTAGTACTGAATAAGAGGCTCACTCTGCATCTGGGTTCCATCATGTCCTCTTAGCACAGCCCCTGACAGTCCCCTCTCACGTGTGCTTTAACATGATTTCCACTCCCTAGAGTTCTTTCTTCAGGATGAAGCATTTCGTCTCATTCTTTCTTCCTCCCTCCGTCCATCCCTCCGTCCCTCCATTCGTCTGTCCCTTCCCCCCTCCCTCCCTTCTTTCTTATTGCAAAATAAAATGTGTCATGTTTTCATATAGTCTGAGCTCCAAAACCGCTTCATAAGTTTCTGTCTTAGGGCAGCAAAACCTATATTGACTGTAGATCATGTATAAAGTGAAAAGTAGCCCAAATAAAATGCATTAAAGAGCAACAATTAGTAGTGGAGGCCATTGACATACTTTGGCATCAGACTAGGGCAGCTAAGCATGAGGAAATCAAAACCTCAGGAAATATCTGGTGTGTACTCACTCATATATGGAGTTTAGACATGAATCTGGGGAGTGCCAGCCTACAATCCCAGTGCCAGAGAGTCTAGGAAACAAAACCTTCATCTAGAGACTGACAGAAGCAGAGGCAGATACCCACAGACAAACACTGAACTGAACTCCTGGAATCCAGTATCAAAAAGGGAGAAATGATGAGCAAAGGAGTTAAGACTGGACTGGTTTAACCCACAGAAACAGCTGACCTGAACAAGCGGGAGCTCTTGGACCCCAGATTGATGGCTGTGTGGAAAGCATGGGACTTACCAAGACCCCCTGAATGTGGGTGTCAGTGAAGAGGCCTAGGTAACCTATGGGGCCTTGGGTAGTATTTATCCCTGGCATACAAATAGACTTTGAGGGCCCATCCCACAATGAGGGATGCTCTCTCAGCCTGGACTCTTGGCGGAGGGCCTAGGCCCTGCCCTGGATGAAATGACAGTTACTGGAGATCCACCATGGAGGGCCTCACCCTCCCTGGGGATCAGAGTAGAGATTGAGTGGGGGACTGGGAAGCCTTGTGGGGAGGGCAGGGGAGAAATGGAGGGAGAGGGAGCTGAGATTGACATATGAAACAAGCTTTTTTCTAACTTAAAAAAATAAACAAAAAAGAAAAGAAAGCTCAAGGGATAAAAGTGCTTGCCTCCAAACCCTGGAACTGGAGTTCAATCACCAAGACCCACAGGGTGGAAGGAGAGATCTAGTTCTATAAGCTGTCCTCCAACTTCTACATACATACCCTAGCAAACATGCAACCCTCCAGCAAAATAAATGAATATATATACTTTCAAAAACAAAAAGAAAAAGAAATATCATGCTACACATGACATGAGCAACAGGAAGAAAATAGCACATGTTGGTAACATGTGGAGAATGTAGAATCCTTATGTCCTGTTAGTGGGGACTTAAAATGTTTAAAAACATTTTAGAAATCACTTTAAGAAAGCTGAGACTGGTGGCAATGCCTGCATTTTCAACACTTGGGAATCCAATGATTGGAGGATCACAGGTTATAGCCCAGCCTGGACTATATCACAGGGCACTGTCTTAAAACAAACAAATCACCTCAAAATCAAAACCCAAACAAATGAAAGAACTAGTCCCTTCCAAAGTTAAACATAGCGAGTTTGCAGATCAGTGGTAGAGTGCTTGCCTAGCATGGATGAAACCTTGGATTCAATTCCCAGGACTAAAAAAGCTAAAAGTATAGTTTCCATGTAACTTCAACCATCCCTCCACTAAACATGTATAGAAGGGAAATGAATGGTTTCTCCATGTAAAACCTAGACAGGAATGTGCTTGTCATCATAGTGCGTGATAGCAAAAGAAGTGGAAAGAGGTCACTCATGCACCAGCTGATGAGTATATAATTAACTATGGGATTCCATTTCAATGGAATATTATTTAACCATAAAAAGCAATTATATACTGACATTTACCACAAAATGGTGGCCCCTTATAGCATTGTGCCCAGTGAAAGAAACCAGATGCCCAACATTACATAGTATATAATTCCATTTATATGAAATGTCATCAATAGGCAAAACCACAGAAGCAGAAAAGGACTTGTGGCTGCCCAAGGCTATAGGGGGACAGGAAGTAATGACTACACGATGTAACATTTCTTCCTGGAGTGGTAAAAGTGCTCTAAAATGGACTGTGATGATGAACACCCTCCCCCGTGAAAATATAGCCAATGTATCATCTACTTAAAGCAGACGAATTGTATGATATGAGAGCCATGTTTCAACAAAGCTATTAAGAAAAAAGAAGGGAGATGAAAGCCTTGACTCAATAATTCAGCATGTCAAAAAAATGAGCCAGTGCGAGTGATACTTATGTTGAGGGGGAGAAATAATCAGAGTATATATAAGACACGGAGGTGTAAGATCAAAACACAAAGGTTCACCTCCATTGTGAACCAGTGAGGCTGTGGCCCAGCCTGAGGACTGTGACTGCTGAACACTGAGGATGGTCTTCAATTCAAATGCTCATCCTAAGGGCCTGGCTTCTGGCTCCCCCAAACCGAGGAGCACTGTGGAGAGTTGGAGTTGACAGCTTCTAATGAGAGCCTATGCTCCAGCACTCACCAACAAGCTAGCATTCGGGTCCCTGTGCTAGCAGTGGGAAAAGGGGAAGGAGTTGGTTTTATTCTGATCTGCTAATATAGTAGAGGCCAAAGCCATTAGGTTTTCTGTCTGCCTTTCAGGTCTTGCCATGTTCCTATATGAAGGTGCACTGGTCATGCATTTCAAGTGAGCAAATCAGGGCAGAAAGAACAGTGATTGGTCACAGTAGCACACAAACCGTAGCGTACAAACAGCAGCAGCAGTAGCACATGAAAGTCTCTCAGCAGAGCGTTCCATGCACATTAGCGGGATCCAAAAATCCCCAGTTCACACCAGCCCAGGGATCTACCAAATGGTGTTTGTGGCCAGAAGTCCCGAGAAATGGGCAAAAGACCTGCATTGCAACCCCTCACCCCCCACACACACACACACACACACACACACACACACACACACACACAAGACGATACTGATTGCATCTCATCAGGTCAGGTTTGTGAACTCTGTTTGCCAAAAGTAAAGGTCATGAGCCCTGCCACCCAGAGGCAGAACTGAACTGACCCCTGGTGCCCCATCCGACACATCTAACTATCTCTTCCATGTAGTCCTTCCAGAGAGCTGCACCCTGCCTCTGAGAGCCCCTTGGTGCTCAGGGACTGCTGCCGGTGATAAGACTCCAGGCAGCTGCTGCCATCTCAGAGGTCAGGCAAGCACGGACTGAGGGTGCCAGGACACCTGCTTCTTGCAGGCAAAGATGAACAAATGACAACATGTGTTGCCTTGAATGTGAGTGGCCCAGGCAGCATGTGTTAGACCCCGGCAGATCTGTTTGCTTCATGAGCATGGGCCCTTCTTTTCATAACTGGAGCAGGGAACAGATGTTCCATCAAAAGACACATTTAAAATAAAGATAATTATGCAGTAAGAGGCTTAATTACATCAGTTTATTCAGGTCCACTTAATTGCCTGACAGCCCAAGTGCCTCCCACTTATTTGCGGCAGAGGCTCTCGTGTTTTGCTGGTTTATCAAATCCTTTGATGGCTCGAGGAAGATGTTATTGACTTAGCAATTCAGAAAATATCAATTCCTCTTATACAGCTGGTAGAGGAAAATATAAATATTTTTAACAAGCAATAAAGAATCATCATTTTCCTAGTGCTGGCTTATAGTGTCCTATAAATGATTGATAAGGGCAATGACTCACCAAGGTAAGACCCAAGTAGTTATTTCAGCTTTAGCTGTCTCTTGGTTGTATTTGCAGCCTTTCTGTCATATGAAAATCCTGGGGAGAAGGTGATAAGGTAATTTAAAGAGGCCTCTTGCCTTATGTGACAATCAAGCAATTGACCCCAAGAAAGTTGTTTTATGGTGCTATTTTCAACTCTCCTTAACTTTAAAGATATAGATTAGCTCTGTTCCACACTGACATCCTGTCTCTCTCTTTGTCCCCCTAAATTACCAGCCTTGTCAAAGCAATCACTTTACTTACTATTTCTAGTTTTCTTTGACTATTCCTTTTTTTCTACCAAAGCTTGCAAAGGAACCCCTGCTCACTTCGTTTCTCAAGGAAACAAACAAACAAAAACAAAAGAGGACACAATTTTTAAAAGCCTCAAACAAGGCAAATTCTGATTTTTTTTCACTACTCCGCATCCCATTCTGTGGTCAGAACACTTGTTAAGCTCTTACTGTGGATTCCAGGATTCCTCCTGGATTTACCCTGAAATCAGTAGGGATCCTAGCAGGAGGCATATGGCACATCCACAGGAACTGATTGAAAGGGAGACAATGAAGGGATGAACGCAGGCGCAGGATTCTCACGTCTGTTACAGCAGCACCATTCATAACAGAGAGGACATGAAATTAACCTAGGTATCTACAATGGATAGCAAAGATGTGCTGCATAAATACAATGGAATAAATAGCATGGATGAGCCTGGAGGACTCCATAAAAACTGAAATAAGCCAGACGCAGAAACACAGATCTGACTATCCTTACCTACCCATAGAAGTTTAAAAGGCTGACACCATGGAAGTATAGAACAGAATGGTTAGTTACCTGTGGCCGGAGATAGAGGAGATGGGGCGAGGATGTTTAATGGATACAGAACGCATGCTTGGAATGGAAAAATAGCTTCTAATAGCTATGTAGGACAACAGTTACTCGGGTTGACAATAGTCAATTGAATATTTCTAACCAGCTAGAGAGGGTCTTACAAATTTTCAACAGAGTCACAGAACTTCTGAGTTGATGAGTATGCCAGTTACCCTTATTTGATCTTTACATATTATGTAATCATTAAAACAGCACAGTGTATTCTACAAGTATATAGAGATATTACCAATCAACTAAAAATGCTTTAAATAGAGGAGAGAAATTTGAAGTAGAGTATAGGAAATGAAGAAGAAATGGTGAGTAAACCGGAACTAGAGGAAGGTGGGGACAACTCTGGGGGACAAGATATGGGAACCAGAGTCACCACCTGTCACAAGATGTGGATTTCTGGAAAACTTGGGCCAATACAGAAGGGAGGCAGCTAGGAGAATCGATACCATATCTTCCCTCTCTCTCCTCTGAGCTTCATCAGATCCTCCCACAGGCCACCTTTGACCAACTTTTGGAGACCAGGGAGTCATATATACTACTCATGTAAGTTAGTCTCCAAGGTTACTAAGCACCGCAGCGCTCCAAAAGGAAATGGGGGATACCTACAATATCATCACCTACTTGGTACCTTCTCTTGGTGCTTCTTCTATGATTATCTCCAAAGATCAATTCTCTGCCTGTCCTCCTCTTCTACCTTGGATTAGGTTATATAGTTCTCAGCTTCAGGTGCCACCTCGATATTAGTTTCCTTCCTTCTTTCCTTCCTTCCTTCTCTCTCTCTCTCTCTCTCTCTCTCTCTCTCTCTCTCTCTCTTTCTTTCATTCTAAGCCTCTTTTGCTTGACATGCCCATATTATGTAACTGTCTTGCCTTGAGATTGCATGTAGTCAAACTGAAACCAATTTTTCTCTGAGTTCAGTTCTCCCAGAATTCATCCAGTGACTTACTGTTCTCTTCCCAGAGTTAGGATGGAATGGTCATCTTCATTTCTTCAATTGTATCTAGACCACAGAGTTCGAAGTTCTGTGGATCCCAACTCTGAATTCTTTTCACCATCCCTTCTCTTCCGTCACTACAAGGGCAAACAAAAGACAGACCACACTGCCTTCTTGTGTGTGTGCTTTTGCTTCTATTATTTAACTGCTACACTGTGTCATCTATGTTGCTTCTGAATTTATCTTTCTAAAATAGTTTGCATTTTTAAAACTTCCAGGCAAATGTCTTAACATTAACTAAACAGTGCAGCTCCATAACTGAGGCTGGTTTCCATAACACATCCCATCAGGTCCAACTTCTATTTCTAGCCTAATATCCTATTATAGAACTGCTTAAAGTATCTTGTCAGTATGTATGTTTATAACTTAAAGAAGTGCTACTCTTAGCCTTCATCAGCGAAACTTCTTTTTGCAGTGAACCCCTGGGAGTACAGGAACACATGGCTGTTTAGTACACTGAGACTAAGAAGGGTTCAGTAATCAGTCCTAAACAGGACATTTATACCACTCCATCTAAGGCTCAGGGAACATTCCAGGAGAGAGGTGGAAAGAATGGAATAGCCTTGAAGGCAGAGAGAAAGGCTGCAAAATGTTGTCTATCTTTAGGTCATGATACGGCCAATGCAGTCCCAGCCTTCTAGCAGCTGCAGTTGCCTGCACTGGATCCATGCAAGAGCAGGCCTGTCGTCAACAGGCATTCATGGATCAGAGCAGGCCTGTCAACAGGCATTCATGGATCAGAGGTGGAGTCATGCTTATTCCTCCCTGACAAATTATTGGCTACTGGTAAATTCTAGGGGAGGGGTAGGTATTGTTTCTACCTATGTACCTACTAATGAGCCACCATATTTTAGTGTACAAAACCCAGAGTCACACAGGTGGCCTTGATTAAATTCAACGTGTCACACAACAAAATAAAAAGACAGGAATATGTGATTGGGGTGTGTTAGGAGTGGTAAATGGGGGTTGGGAGACTTAGGGTAGGGAATGATAGTAATTAAAATATAATTTGTGCACACAAGAAAACACCAAAGACAAATTTAATAGGTTACTTTAAAGCTTTTAAGTCATTCAAATTCATATTTCATACTTCTTTTCAGGGCTAGGGAAATAATGCAGTGGGTAAAAGAGCTTGTTCCATAAGTTGGGGACAAGAATTTGGACACCCAAGACTGATGTAAATACCAGGTGGGCATGGTAGCCTGTCTGTAATCCAAGCATGTGGGAAACAGAGATACTGGACCACCAGGACAAGCTGCCTGGTTAGACAAGCTGAATTGGTGAACAGTGAGTTCAGAAGATAGATCCTGCATCAAGACAAGGTGGTGAGAAATTGAAGGAAAAATCTGACCTCCACATGAGTACAAACAGTTGCATACACACCTCACACAAGATTACTCATATATTCAGGTGAACGCACACACACACACACACACACACACACACACACACACACACACATCTTCATTTTGTCACTTGACATTCTCTCTCTGTGTTCTCTGTTCCTTTAAGATACACTATTACAAGTATAGATGAAAGAAGTCACCCATGTAACAGACAGATTGATGGAATAGGTGTGCCTGTGATCTCACTTCTGCACCCTTGAAAAACAATTGCATCAGCAGCAGGGGCCACCAGTGCCAATAGAATTAGTCAGGCCAGGTTCCCTGTCCATACATGGGTCATCAGTCCAGTCCAAGTGATCAGTGACAGTACACATGCTTAGAAATGTAACCAAGGCCAATGGTGGAGGGAGCCTCACACTTCTCACTCCTGTAATCCTTGACATTCCCATGTGAGGCCTTATTGCATATGTCAAAACCTCCTTTCATAGTGATGATGGTGGACAAACATTTTTCCATTACTTTCTTTCTTCTCACATTTGTGATGGCTTCCACAACCCTTCTCATGCATTTCCATGTCTTTGGCTAACTGACCTTTTGATTCTTAGACCGTTACTCCAAGTTCATGACAAGCATACAGAGAACATTGCTCAAATACCTTCATTTCTGTAAGCATTCATCATCACTCACTCCAGAAGGAGGCTCATAGAACAATGTAACTGGTCCCACAGTATTACCTGTTGTTATATGCCTTGTAAACATTATAACTTTTCCAGACATCATTGACACTACAGTTTCTGTACAGAGCAATTCACTAGTCCCTCAGGTCTTCCCTCATGCCAATAAGGGGGTCCTGCAGAAGCTACAGACCACTTGAGAGTTCTTTTTAGGTTCCTCAGGTATCATCTGCAAGAGAGAGAAAAGATGGTGACAAGCTACAAGAAGACATCACAATGGAACAGGCTTTGTGCTGATGAGAAATCTCACTTAACACTGGGAGATAGTTCTGCCAGTACATGCCATTTTTAGGCAATTAAAGTTCAAAGAGCAATTTATTACAATTTGCTTAAACCCATGCAGATAAAATGGCAGAGTGAGAATTCATGTGAGTTTCTTTCAGATCAAAGCTTCTTTGTGTCCCTCCACAACATGTTGGTTTTAGCTGTTTACATGTGTGCAAACTCAGTTTTTTTCTGAAAATTAGTCATTTTCATTAATTCTTTGGAAAATTCAGTTAAACAATTTGATAATGTTTGTTCCCTAGCTCCTCCTAAATCACCCTCCTTTATCTATCTAATATTTAGTTGTTTTTTTTTTAAACCATGGAATCCAAGTTATGCTTCACATACACTCTGAGGTATGTGGCTATCCATTGGAGTATGGTCAGCATCCTAATGCCCACAACCTTAAGAAGAGGAGAGAGAGAGAGACAGACAGACAGACAGAGAGAGACAGAGAGACAGAGAGACAGAGACAGAGAGCAGAGAGACAGAGAGCAGAGAGACAGAGAGACAGAGAGACAGAGAGCAGAGAGACAGAGAGCAGAGAGACAGAGACAGAGAGACAGAGAGACAGAGAGAGAGACAGAGAGCAGAGAGAGACAGAGAGACAGAGAGACAGAGAGACAGAGAGCAGAGAGACAGAGAGACAGAGAGACAGAGAGACAGAGAGACAGAGAGATAGAGAGAGAGCGCGTTCCTCTCCTAGCAACTATTAGTTGCCCATAGCTCGCCAGCTAGTGGTGGGAATTCATCTCCCTTCTTCATGCTGGGACTTTGTTTGGCCTGAGCTTGCATGCTACCCAAACCATTTGAGTTCACATCTCCAGCTACCCTGTTGTGTCCAGAAAACACGTTTTCTGTAATCACTCATGACCCTGCATCTTACAGTCTGTTCTTTTCCCTTCTATATGATGCTTGAGCCCTTGTGGGGAGGGAAAGGTGTGGGGAAAGATGTCCTGCCTAGAGCTGAGCATTCTGCATTCTCGCTTTTCTTTTGTTTTTGAGATTATAATTACATCATTTCTCCCTTCCCTTTCCTCCCCCAGAGCTCCAATAAAACCCTCCTTGCTCTCTTTCATGCCCATGGCCTCTCCTTTAATGAATTGTTAGTGTGTGCACATATGTATATATACCTAAATGTAACCTGTTTAGTCTATATAATATTACTTATATGTATGTCTTCAAGGCTGACCCTGTGGTATTGTACAACCAAAGGTGTGCTCTTCCCTGGAGAAGAATAGTTCTCCCATTCTCAGCATTCCTTGGTTGCCTATATGGGCTTTCCTCTCTATTCACTATAGCATGTCTATTGCAGTTTTCCTTGTCCAGCTCATGTTTAGACAGCCATGCTGGTGAGAATTTATGGGTGTACCTTTTGACATTACTATGGAACATAGTCTCTCAGAAAACTTCCTGATCCTCTGGCTCTTACAATCTTTGTACCCCCTCTTCACAATTATCCCCGGAGCCTTAGGTGCAGGAGTTGTTTTGTAGACATATCCACTGGGATTGGGCTCCACAACTCTATTCTATAGTCTATTATTGCTTATACTTTGATGAGTTGTGAGTCTTTGTGTTAACCTCCATTGTCTACAAAAAGAAGTTTCTCTGATTAAGGATGAGAGACACACTAACCTACAAATATAATGATAAGTCATTAGGAGTGGTTTTAATATTACATCCATATAATGATAAGTCATTAGGAGTGGTTTTAATATTACATCCATATAACAGTAGTAGGTTCTCTTCTAAGGCCTATCTTTTGTCTCGCCAGAGACTCTTGACCCTACTAATACCACCAGATATTATAGGCTCCTTGTAGAGGGAGCCTTAAATCAAACCAGAAAGTGGTTGGTTACTATTGTGATATTCTTATCACTAATACATCAGTAGACATCTCATCAGGCTGGTGCTTATTGTAGGTCCTGAGGTTTGAAGATTAGTACGATCAATGATTATTTTTCTTCAGTAGCATGCATAGTACCTTCTAGCACTATGAAAGCTAGCCAAAGGGAATAAAGTTCCTAGGAGCATACAAGACCAGGCCTGTCAACAGACATTCATGGATCAGAAAGACATTGCCTTGTTCTATGACTCAGGATTGTGGTATCCTCAGCAATAGGGTCTTACCATCAAGTTCCTGAGGTGTTGGCAATAGATTATAATGCTTGAAGATTTATAGAACCTCACTGTTCAACAAGTCCAAAAGACATAACCAATTCCTGAGCTTTTCCTGAGTTAACCTTTGATGTCTAGTAGGGTCATTGTCAACTGGTTACAGAGTAAATCCATTTTAACTCTTTTAACTGTGTGTGTGTATGTATGGATCTTAGAAACCTTCCACAGTAGTAAGCTTCTACATGGCTTTTTCAAAAGGTGTTTGTGCTATTTATCCTTCCTGGTACTCCCTCCTCTACAGTGCCCTCCCTCTTTCATCCCATTTACCCCTTCCTCTTCCATTATTCTCCTCATCCCTTTACATTATGGTATCCTAGCTTTCCTCTCCTGAAGTTGCCCTCTCAGAGATCCTTACTAATTCCCTGGCCTCTCTGGGTATTCCAAATAAAACACATCTTTAAGATTTGAAGCTAATATCTGCAAATAAGAGAAAATGTGACATTTGTCTTTCTGTATCTGCATTATCTCATTCAGAATAATTTTTCCCAGTTCCATTCATTAAATGTAAACTTTAAAATTTAGGGTTTTTTCTAACATCTGCATAGTATTGCATTATATAAATGTGCCACAGGGTAAGAGAGGTGGCTCAGTGGTTAAGGGCACTTGTTGCTCTTGCAGAGGACCTGATTTTGGTTTCCCAGCATCCACATGGTAGTTTGTAATCATCTTTAACTCTATTTCCAGGGGATCAGAAGTCTTCTTCTGGTACCATCTTTGAGGGCACCAGGAATGCACATAGTATACATACATACTCATAAAACAAAAACTCATATTCATGAAACAAGAAAATAAATAAACCTACATAACATTTTTTAAAAAAGGTATCACATTTTCATTATCTGACCATCAAGTGAGGAGCATCCCGGTTCTCTTCATTTCTTGGCTGCAAACTCAATTTGTTTAAGGTTCAGGGTCATCTAATAGTGGAAAGAAGCTAAAAGAGAGGTAGGTTAGCAAAATGTGAGCTGAGAATGAATAGCCAACTGAGAACTCAAGTTACAAACACAGAAAACAAAGAAATAAGCAAACCTCTCAACTACCAACAGTTTCCAAATACTGTTGTAGTGTCTGACTACATGACAAAATGCAAGCTATTGGGACACCGGCATTGAGAGCTACTTATTTTAACCAGTTCTGTGTAATCTATACATGACTTCTTCAGAAAGTAAAGACACCCAATAGGCACTCACCCAATTAAATTTTAAAAAGTAACATCTGCTTTATTCCTCAAAGTGTTAGTCATTTTTCTTCTATAGAACTTTTCTATAACAACATAAGAAAACCTATTAAAGTTGTTGACTAAAACCCTCCCATTTTTATTCACCATTCCCACATTTTAGAATTTGGAGATGAGATAAGAGGCACCAAAGCCAGAGAGTCTGGTCTGATTCTTGTCATTACCCTTTAAAATCATCAGAGGCACTGTCTACAAGAGACTCTAAAGAGTGATCTGCTCAATAGGACAGAGCGGGTTTACCACTGAGATGCATTTCATTTAGCACCTATGAACTCTGTTTTAAATGAGTGCATTACACAGGAGGGCTCCAGTGCTACTCAGGAGTGCTCCATGAGTATTCCCCTGGGAACAATGGCTCCAGCAAGTTCCCCAGTCTCTATCCGTTCCCACAGCTAATGCATTAATCTAATTGGCCTCTAGGAACAACTCTGGCATGTAGTCTTCAAAATATAGAAAATGAAAGAGGATTGCTTCAACAAAGTCCTGACACAAAAACACTGTCAATTATTGTTAGTTCCCTAACAAGGATGATTCATAGATAATCTTTTTTTTTGTATAAAATTATAAAGTACCTCAGCCACTCATAAACACCTGGCCACAAACAATGGATAAAAACATTGTACCACTGTCCGAGGATGTGTTAGTCTTTGTGTTCTACTGTGTACATTTTGTGTGTACTCACTTACATTGGTTGTCTCTGGATGAAGTCTAATTTTGTTCTTAAAATAGCAAGTCCTGCTGGGTGGTGGTAGTGGTGGTGATGGTGGTGCATGCCTTTAATCCCAGCACTGGGGAGGCAGAGGCAGGAGGCAGGAGGTGTCTGATCTACAGAATGAGTTCCAGGACAGATAAAGCTGCACAGGGAAATCCTGTCTCAAAAATAAATAAATAAATAAATAAATAAATAAATAAATAAATAAAACACAGAAACAACAAAAAAAAGCAAGTCCTACTTAGTACAAAATTACCACATTTGTTATAGAGAAAAAAGTTTTATATTAAAATATAAAATTGTATCTATTAATATGTATATGTTTGTGATGCATGTATGTGATTGTGGGCACATGTGTGCCATGTCATACTTGTGGAGGCCAGAGGGCAATTTTAGGGAGTCTGTTCTTCTTCCATCTTGTTTGAGGCAAGGGCTTTCCTGTTGTTTCTGCAGTTGTTGAGCTCCTGCAATCGTCCAAGTGATCTCTGAGCTCTACCACCCATCTTACTATAGGCGTCCTGGGATTACAGATGCATATCACACATCTGGCTCTTTACACAGGTTTCAGGATTGACTAAAGTTGTCAAGCTTGCACAGAAAGCATTTTTACCTGAGAAGCCATGTTTGTGGTCCCAAGAAAGATTTCTAAAAAGATTTATTTTATCTTTTGTGCTGCTGTTGCTGCGTGGTGGTGGTGGTGGTGGTGATGGTGGTGGTGGTATGTTTGTATATGCATGTATGCCACATATGTGTGCGTACCCAAGGTTAGAAGGCAGCATGTCCCCTGGGGCTGGAGTTATAGACAATTGTGAGTCACCCAATGTGAATGTTGGGAGCCAGACCAGAGTCCTCTAGAAGAACAGTGGTCACCTCTAACCTCTGAGCCATATCTCGCCCCAGAAGAACATTTAAAGTCATTAAAGTGGTGACTTTAATCACGTGCTCATGCCACAGACTCTGCAAGCAAATGCTAATGGATTTTGGAAATCTCCCCAATGAAATTCAAGGCTTCATGTTCCTTCTCATTCTGTACCACACTAGCTACTCGTTTAAAGCCATGGAGGTTGACCATGTGTAATTAGAAATCACGAAACTGCTTTCTATATATTTAATGGAGTACACTTAACTCATTTTAAATTAAGCTCTGCATTATTTTGTCCAGATTTCTTCAAATAGTCTTTTGACAAACTCAGCCTGAATTTTAACAATAACTGCACAACTTTACAGCCCTGCTTTCAGGGTTACACACTGGGGTTTGTCTGTAAGTCAAACATCAGGGCCACTATTAGCAACTATTCCAGAGGTGTGTTGAAGCTCTGTGGATCTGTGGGTTTGGCTTTCTAAACCCTGAGATTGTTTCCTTCACCTTAAATGTATGCCTTCAGAAGCTCCACATGGGCCTGTCTGTTGTACTGGGTTTACTACTCACGTCTCGGAAGCCAGTTCAAGTTCAAAGGGATTGGCAGTAGAATAGACCTATTGACATGAGGAGCAACATGTTGTCCAGGCCTGGCATCCACCCGACATGTCGTTCTTGCTGCCTTCCCTCGACTTTCACATTGTCTGGGCTTCATTAGTAAAATATGTTCATTATAAGGAGTATAAATTCGTCTGGATCTTAAAATCCAAACTGATTTCCCACTTTTAATGCACGATTAGCTCAGCTACATTTAGTGTAATTATCGATCTACTGGCACTTGAGTGTCCCATGCTCATGCTTCTTACGCTTAACCCATTTGTTCCTTCTCCTTTTCCTCGTTTTCAGTCTCTTCTCAAGGGAATCCCACTTATTTTAGTATTCACTTGATCTTACACATTGAGTTTTTACATACTGTGTTAAATTTGTTCTTAAAAGTTGCTTTAGAGTTTATAGTATAAACTATTAAATTATTATCTATTTTAGTGAACTTCATGAAAACATTAAAGTAGAATAATACTTTCTGTGGTCCCACATTTGAGTCCTTGTCATTTTATATGTTACTCCTACATATATTACAAATGCATATTCATTATCAATATATTCAGTATTTTTGCTTAGATACTAAATTTTTTAATAAATCATGTATTTTTACACATTGTATATGTGTATTTCTATATACTGTATGAAATGGTAAAATATCTCCAAGATATATAATACTATGTAACATAAAGTAACAATATGTATCAAAATATATAAAGGGTTAATATATAGGTATATGCGTACAATATATGTTGTGTATATAATTTATAGATGTGTGTCCCCCAAGGACTCTCTGCAGATCTCCCTTGCTCTACCCACTCCAGGGCCCTCAGTAAAGACTCATGGAACTGATACAATGAGGGTTTGGAGCCTTGCTCCATTCCAGAGCTCCTGCTGTTTGAAATATGTTATACAACCACATGAAGCCATTAAAATTCATCCAACTCTTGCTCTTAAAACTTCAATGGACTCCCCTTCAGCCTTGGACTGCAGGCGAGAGCCATGGCAAGCTCTTCCTCTCTGAAATTTAGTGCATCTGAGTTTTGTCCTCTTCTGACCTGTCTTTAAAACAAGTATCCTGTAAGCTTTCAGCTGTCTCTGTTGTCAGAACTAGTGTGACTGACTCCTGACTTTTTCTTCAAAAACACCATACCACCCATATTATTCAGCTTTTCCACTTTTCAGTTGGATATTGCTATTTTGTTTGTGGATCAGAGCACAATTTCTGTGCCCTGCCAGAGTCAGGAGGCACCGCCTCAGTGTTCCTTCCAGCACACTCTATTCCTGTCACTTCCCACTGATGTCAGCTTTCATATTAAGCAGCACTCCCTCAAACTGTGGATTTTCACCTCTCTCTCATCTCCTCCAATTCCAGTTCCCCAATCTCATCACCCATGCGTAGCTGACCTCCTGCTGCACCAACAGATCTCCTCCTCTACCTTCCTTTCCTTCCACTCACCCCATCACCCCAGCCTCCAACACTAGCAGGCATTGTCTGGGATGTACCAAGCACACAGGCCAAGCCAGGGAAGCAGGTAGGCTAATTGCAGATCTTCACTTATCCCTCTTCTCCAAATCCGGTGCCAATCTCATCCCTAGCTCAGTAGCAGACTATCTGCTGTGGCCTCAACTCCCTCCCTGCTCCCATCCCCAGTGCAGCACACCGCTCTTCCCCTCCAACCTCCCCCCTCCCCCACTCATCACTTTATTCCAGTCCGCAACTGAGCAGGTATTCCCTGGGAACCCACACCTCCCCATCCATGGAAACAAGTATCCTAACTTGATTTCACCCCTTCCTCCTGTCCTCCAAACAATTCCCCAGTCGAACCCCAAGCATGTAGAGCCGATCACTCTTGTGGCCTCCCCCTTCCCGGCCCCATCTCTAGAAGATCACACAGATATTATCATCCAACTTTCCTCCCCACCCATCCTGTTATCCCAGCCCCCAACTCCAGCAGGCACTCTCTGGGAACCTGTCAGTCAAGCCTGCCAGAGAAGAGGATAGGCCAGGGAAGCAAGAAGGCAAGCTTCAGCTCTTCATTTTCTTCCTATTCTTTATATCCAGCCCCACCCCCACCCCAGCTCACGTCCAGCTCTGCAGCAGACTACCTGTTATGGCCTCTCCTCCTCTCTGCCCCTAGTCTCAGGAGACTAAGCAGAGCCTGGTGAAACACCCTGCTTTACTCCCTCCTGTGGATCTTCTCACCACCCTCCTCATTCCTAAGAGTCATTTTGCAATACCTAGAATAAGTGTTAACCAGAACTCCCAGTGACCACATTTATCAGGATCCCAGAAAAATTCCCTAGCCAGCAACATACAACCACCACATTCTGCTAAGAAGCAGAAAGAAACAGAGACCAAGGAACAAAACACCCACCCAACAAAGATGAGATAAGATATCAGCACCTAGAACTACAATCTTCCCAAATCCAGATACCTAGACGCCAGCATAAGCACAGTCAGTTACATCCAGGATAACATATCTATGCTAGAGCCCAGCAATGCTGCCACAGTGGGCCCTGAGTATGGCAATATAGTTAAGACAAAGACCTTACAATAGCCTTTAAGAATATGATAGCTGTCCTTAAGGAGGAAATGAATAAATCCCTTAGAGGAATCTATGAAAACACAAATAGTGGAAGGAAATGAAGAAAACAGTTCAAGACCTGAAAGTGGAAAAAGAATCAATAAAGAAAACTTGTGGGGACTTTTCCTTTTTTAAAAAACTTTATCTTATTATTGTTTTATTTCATTTTTCTTACTTTTTTATCCTAAATGTCCTTTGCGTATATATTATGGCTTCCAGTTTAGTGCTTTTATGGGAGTTCTGAGTGTTTGAACAAGCGCATCTCTATTTCTAGTGCCTTCTCTTGGGCTCCTTTCCTTCTGTTTGTTTTACCCTATTCTGATGTGTTAGTTTTGTTCTATGGTATTATGTTTTATTATTTTATATAATGTTTTATTACTATCCCTTAGAAGCCTGTTTGTATTCTAATGAGATGCGGAAAGGGAATGATACAGATGCATGGGAGGTGGAGAAGAATTGGGAGGAGTAGACACAGGTGAAACCAGAATTAGGATGCATTATGTGAGAAAAAAATCTATTTCAATAAAAGAAAAAAAGTGAATGGAGAAGTTGGGGGAGGGACTTAAGGGAAACTGCAAACTTTACATGTTGTATGCCTGTATGGCATCATCAGTATCATTTCAAATATCATTAATGTATTTAGTTAGACATACTAATAAATCAGAGCAATCAAAAAACAGCACTTCCACACCAGACTTTTCCCCTAATAATCTTTTAACTTATTCCGTAATTATAAACCACTCTGTTTGAGACTCTTAGTAGTTGCTATGGTAATAGAAACAATATTATGTGATTAATACACCCCACAGATGGCAAGGACAGTTAGAGAGAGGAGTATAGGATAGTGGTACACCTGCATTTGAGGAGATAACCTCTTGTGCTTTAGATGGAAATGCCAAAATCACTGTAGTTCATGAACAAAAGCCAGATTCTTGTGGAAGAAATTTGTCTGTGATAATAAGAAATTTCTCATAATTTAAAATGGTCTAGTTTGAAGGACACAGCACCAACGGAATACACTTTGCATGGACAAACATCCCTTATATAAAAATCTGAAATCTA